GGGAAACAGAAGGCAACTGTTTAATCAGCAACTGTCGGCAGGATGTATGCAGAGAACGTGTTTGAGGAGACAAGATGCCTGCTCTCAACTAGCTCCCCATCTAGAAGGGGTTGGGAAACGAGCTGTGAGCTCTCAGATGGCAAGGAACTGGTCTGGCTTTATAACCTCTGCATAGCAGGTGTCCTCTCTGATGGATAAAGGGACGACTGAAGGAACACGCGGTAACATGCCACACTGTGATAAAAACACTACGCCTCGTATGGAGGTCACTCCACGCCTCTCGGGGCTTGGGGGGCACGAGCTCCCCGGGGTGAGGTTAGTAGCCATGAGCTGGTTCGTGGAAGCCAAGATGGTGTCTAGGCAGCAGAACTGATATGGACCAAAGCGCTGAAAAATGTGAAGGTTTGACTACTGTGAAAATTACAAATCCCACCATCACAGCAGTCGCCTGTGCTCTAAAGCTGGTGGTGAGTCACGGTAAGGAGGAGTGGGAAGAACACTGGCCTGGAGTCAAGAGAGCCAACGTCTAGCACAGGCTCAGTCACACTCCTGTGGGACACGAAGCAAAGCAAAGGGCCTGCCCTGTACGCACCAGGCTTGGGCCACTCACTGGCTCCTGTCGCACTTTACCTCCCTGAATGGGTGCAACTCCCAGTGGCAGGTATTACTGTTTCTATTTTAAAGTTGGGGAGGGGCGCCCGGGTGACTCAGTAGGGTTAGGTGCCTGACTTTTTATTTTGGCTCAGGTCATGATCTCACGGTTTGTGGGATCGAGTTCTGCATCAGGATCTGTGCTGACAGTGCGGAGCCTGCTTGGGATTCTCAATTCTCTCTCTCCCTCTCTTCCTAACCCACTCACGCGCTCCCTCTCTCTCTCTCTCTCTCTCTCTCTCTCTCTCTCTCTCTCTCTCTCTCAATAAATAAATAAGCGGAAAGTGAGGTTAGGGAACTTGCCTACGATTACACAGCAAATGGGGGTACAGTTAGAACTCCAACTCTTCTCTCCCCAAAGCTCACCATCTTCGTGCACCTGCTGCTCATGTATGTAATAAGAAATATTGAGAGGTTGGGTGCGGATCCGCCAGCCTTGGGCAGGAATTCCAGTGAGAGTCCTAAACCCTCACCTCTACATCTCTGTAATGCTATGTGATGTAGATGAAGAAGATCTAACAAGATCTCGTTGTGGAGAGACCTTTCTTTCAGTAAGGAAAAGTCAATGAAAGAAATCTCAAATTTAAAGCGCAAACACATACAATTACGGACATCAAATTAAAAGTGCCAACTGAAGGGTCATTTGCATTCCTGAACCTGGAGGCAGATGAACCCCAATGTGATGAGCAGAGAAACAGCGTGAAACAGTCACGTGCTAGTCACAAACAATGGAATTGCCACCTGTCTGTCACAATTAGCTATTGAACCCAGCTGTGACCTCCGCTCCAATCAATCCCATTTCCACAAGGCTGGGCTTTAACCCTGGGCTCCAAACACCTTGCGGCCACCTCCACCCCCCCTGGTTTCTGCTCACAGCATTACTCATCAGCTGACTCCTACAGTGGGCTGCGAACAGGGCAGGGGGGCTGGACAATAATCATCCCCTGCTAACACGGAGAGCGGCCCCGCCTTACATCTGCACAATGTACAAAAGGACATTTACATGCATTGTCTCACATTCCTCATCCCCCAACAACCCTGTGAGTTACAAAGTCACGTATTACTACCAGATGTTACAGCGAGCAAGTTGAGGCCTAGAGAGGACATAAAATATGACCCAGGGAATAAGCTAGAAAATGATAGAGCTGTGATTCAAACCTCCTCAAGCCAAGAGGTTGTTCCTAACCTTATCCTTAGATCACCCACCACCATGGCCAGAGACCCCCATCCAGATCTCCCTCCTTCCACCTGAGGTCAGCACGGCAAACGCCCCCCCGCCCCCCGCCCCCCGCCCCCGCCCCAAGCAGGCACTGTGGAAGTAAGTCCCATTTGGCTTTCCCAGGAAGGACAAATACATGCCTATCTGCATTCAGATTGTCCCAGGTGAGGGCTAAGAATGTACCTGCATGAGCATGGAACACACCTGTATACATGGCAGTGAGAATTCCACACCTGGCTTCTTGGGACTTTTAACCTCCACAAACAGCCTTCCCCTCTGCTAGAATCATGGCTCATTCACTAATTAAAGGGTATTACGCACTTCATTGCACACCAGCTAAGAACTTGGAATAAGAGCTTATGCAAAAGCATTAGCCCTGGAGACAGCACTAGGTATGTTTTACAGAAAAAGAAAAATGGAAAAAGTGATCCACCTGGGACATCCCCTCCCCCATACTTAACTTCTCTAATAAGTCAGCCACTGCACGTAAAGAAAGAAGCCACTCAGCATGGGAAAAACCCAGGCAGGGCCTAATAAATAAGCCAAATGGAGAGGGATGAGCAGCGGAGAGATGGAATGGGCAAGAAGGCCAGTGAACTGACTTCCCCCATCAGCAAGGTTCCCTGCCCTCTTCCGGTGCAAGAACCCCAGAATCAGCATACTATACCCCAGACTAAAAGGTACAGGGGTATAAAGGGGGAGTGGGAAGGATTACCCCTCACTGCAAGGTCTTGGAACAAACCTGGTGCCATGTCCCCTCTCACAGAGGCTCAGCATGGCTTCCCACTGTGATCAGAGGGTGAGAAAGGTCAGCCATCCACTTGGGGCCTCCTCCAGGTTTCCTGGAGTGGGTGCCCTTTTTGACACCGCCCAAACAGCTGGGAGATCCAGCCCCGAGGCTCATCCCCCTTTCGGTGCTGGGGGAGGTCACACATTGAGGGTCAGTCCAAGGAGGGACACCCGGCCAGATGAGCCTTGGACTTGCTGAGGACGGCAGATAATGACATACCACTTACGACTTCATAAACCATATCCACAAGCACCTTTACTATTTGAGAGACATCTTGGAGAGGTCAAAGGCTCAGGTAAGGCTTTAAGGCCTGATCTTTGGTCTCCTGGGACTCCGGGGCCTCTAATTATGGGCTAAGTGCAAAACGTCAGCTGTGGGCCAAAGAACCTTTACTTGGAAATGGAACTTGATCATGAACTGAGAGGAAACCACTAGTTGGACACGCAGTGACGAGGGTGCTTGAGATCTCGGTCCGGGGTCTGCTACCGCAGTTTCTCTGAGTGTGTTCCAGGTACGTTCAGGCAGAGGAACAGCTGAGTGCATTTCTGAGCTGCAAGGTGCAGTGGTGAAGCTGAGCGTTGCCACGGCACTAGAAAGCACGGGGTGGGATACAGGGATGGTTTCAGCCTCTGAGAATGAGGCATCGTCCCCTCCTCTCTCAAGCCACCTAGACCATCGTTTGTGCATGAAATGTATGAGAGTCGTTTGCTCCGTTCAGAAGGGCTTCCAGTACGGCCGGTCCCTTCCTCCAGTTCAGACCCCCTTCCCCTTTCGTATAAATGCACTGCCACTGCTTTTGCTGTGCTCTTCCTCACAGTGTTTGAAACGGATGGTCAAAACAGCTCCCCCAGGAAACAGAGCTCTATGGGATGCCCCCCACCCCCGGCACTGTGGGCTTTTCCAGAATCACAGACAGCTAACTGCAAGCACAGAGGCTGCAGACAGAAACTGGTTATGGCATTAACTGGTTATGGCAGAAACTCAGAGCAAGAGGCCAGCAGGCAGTGGACCTGAGAGCGGGTGGAGAATGGGTGCACTACCAGCAAGGTGGGGCATGTCTTAATTAGGCAGAGGGCCCCGGACAAGTGCTGGTGACAGAGCCCATCCAGTTCCTTTGCAACTGCTGCACCTGTCATCCAGAACCTACCACTGCAATTTGGCTCAAGGCTCGGAGACTCAAAAGCTCAGGCTTCTCCCTAAGGCAGCTATGGGAGAAGCAGCCACCCTGGGCTTCTGGAGGGTCCCACAGCCCCTGAGGCTCCACACCCGCCTGGAAGCAAGGAGGCATGTGTAGCTGCAGTCTCACCCCCTTATGCCAAGTTATGCCTAGCAGCCCACTAACTGGGCAAACGGAGAACCCTGGCAGCGACAGCTCTCCTCCCATCCTTTCTCTGCCCCTCCAGGAAGCCCCATCCTGAACGTGAGCCACATCCCCCTCCGCCTTTCCTCTTTACTCAGCTCCACACTCCTCCTCCAGGCTTTCCAATCCCACAGCTGCTCGCCCCCTCCCCACACCACTCCTCTGGCATCCACGTTGTTAAGCGACTGCACAGGCAGCAGCCCGAGCCTTTGAGTTTCAAGCCGAAGCTCCCAGACAAGCCAGCCTGGACCGCTTCGCCCTCACAGGCATCTCCCTGACCGTCCTCCTACACACAGGCCTCCACTTACACGCTCCTCTTGGGCCCAAGCACCCTGGACATCTCTTTGCTTCCGACCTGCCAGCAGACCAGATGGAGACCGGGGGGTCCCCCGCCCCCGACTCTCCTCTCCCCACACGGAGCTCGGAATCCACGCAAGAAAAGGAAGCACAGGACTTCCACCCCTGTGAGCATCACCTGCTCCAGCAAGCTCCCAAAGCCACTGATACCACCCAGGCTGTCTGGGGCCCCACACCCCCTTCTCTGGCAGCTTCAGCTCCAGCCCAGCCCACAGGATGCAGTGCCTGATGCCACTTCCGAGCAGAGAAAGAGACAGAGAGGGGGGAAAAATGCCACCTCGTCAATGACAAGCTGTTCCAATCACACAGCTCAGCGACCAAGTGCCCCGGACAGCGGACAGCTCAGGCCTCCTCCCTCTAGTTGGGAGGAAGCCAGCTCAGCACATCTGGGGAAGCGATCCCCCACCGCAGACCCCCTGCTCGCCCTCCACGCCCGACCAGACCACACTGCCCCATCCTGGCAGGCACACCGCTCCAACCAGTTCCAACAACTCTGGCCAACTACCCTCCTGGCCTTCGACTCAGGCACCACGCTCTCTCCTGCTCCGGGGAACGCGGAGACCCCAGCGTGGCACTTCTCAAGAGAACCATGCGCAAAAGTGAGCTGAAAGCCAAGTACTCACGGTGGTGAAGTCCTGGTGGCCGCACTCCTGCCCTTTGAACTTGCAGTAGAGCATCATATCCTTCAGGTCGTGGCCCACGCGATGCAGGAACTCCAGCATGCTGAACTGCTTGGGTTTGTAGTGTTTGAAGTTGGCCTTCTGCCGCAGGGCCTCCAGGACCGTGGGGTCTGCCAGGTGCGGGTCCGGGATCTGCAGGTTGACGTCGAGCAGGGCCAGCAGCTCCCCGGCGTGGTACAGGTCATTGGTGGTCAGCCTGGAGAACCGGAAGCCGTTGAGGTTGCAGAGGGTCACGGCTGGGAAGACCAGGCTTTGGGCCACCACCTCATCCACCTTGGTGACGTGCTGGTAGGAGAGGTAGTAGGACACTCTCTCGGAGCTCTCCACCAGCAGCAGGCCCAGGGAGCCCACGAAGGCCACGGCCCAGAGCACACGCCGGATGGTCATCGGCCCATACACGAAGATGTGGCGGATGCCGTGGAGGGTGGAGGTGTTGGCGAAGATGTGGATGCTAGAGGGCTGCAGGCTGCCCTCGCTGGGGCTCTCCTTGAGGTCCATGGGGACCCTGTGCAGTTCCGCAACTGGCTTCAGGTTGATCCAATTTCGGAGAAGAGTTCCCAGTCCTCGGGCTCTGCTTAAACCTTGACGTTCAAGGGAGAGAACACGGCAAGGCAAGCATCAGGCCAGACGCCTGGAGTTTATCCTGGGAGCCCAGCCGCACGCTGCCAGGGGTGAGTGTTTATATAAACCCATTCAAACTCTAGCTCCTGATTTTTTCCAGGCGATAAGGAGGGCTGGTTTTATTTAGGGAGACACCAAGGTGATGTGGAAGAGATGTGGGTGGGAAGGGAGAGCTTAGCCAATGGAAATAAAGTCCTCCCCCCTACACACGCCACTAGAGACAAGATTAAAAGCGAGAGCGAGGGAGAAAATGCTTCAAACAAGTCGCTCGGCAGCCCGGAGCCTGTTAGGTAGCGCATAATGCCCCGCGGTGAGCATCCCGGGGATGTCGCGCGGCCACGCTGATGCACTGCGGGCGGGCGCAGCGCGAGCCTCCCGAGCCGCCGCCGCGCCGCTCCGGACCCCGGATTCCGCTTCTCGCCGCCGGCCGCCGGCCCTCCTCGCCGCCTCCTCCTCCGGGCCCCCTCTTTCGGGCGGAATTCCAAATGCCAGCGGGCCGCGGCCAGCGCCCCGGAGAGGGGGCAGCGCGCCACCGCGGACAGGCGCGGACCCGGAGGCCGGCAGGACGCGGGGGCTCCACGGGCCTCGCCTCTCCCCCGCCTCCCGGAAGTAAGGCGAGACCCAGAGGCCGCCGAGCGAGCCGGCCTCCTCCCCTCCCCCGCCGCCCCCTATCCCGGGCTGCGAGGTGGGGGAGGCGGGGGAGGCGGGGGAGACGGGGCGGGGGGGCAGGGAGGCACGGGGGCGAGAGGCCGGGGGGAGGGGAAACCCCGCGAAAGTTTCTTTTTGGCCGTTTTGGGAGGAGCTAGTGGCGGGGGGGGGGGGGGGGGGGGGGGGCGGCCTTAGCCGAAGGTGGAGTGAGGACGTGACACCCCTTCCCGTAGATAGATGGCAGGGAGGCACTGGATAAACTCCGGAGAGCCAGGTGTGGGGGTGGAGGCAGAATTCCTTTGCTCGGATTCTGCTCCCGGGTCACACTCAGCCCGGGGCCCTCAGAGGGGAGATGCTGAATGTGGAGAAGGTAAGAAGCAACCCAGAAACCACAGTGCCTCTGCCACCGGCCGGCGGGAGGGGGACATTCCAGGGAGCGAGGAAGCCCCTCCGGAGACCCGGATAAGGAGCAACAAGTAGCCCCCACCCCACAGAGCCGCTGTGCTGTCCCGAGGTTCTGTATCTGCAAAAGAAAGACAGCTGGGGTTCCAGGTAGGGCTGGCTGGCCCCCTTTGGGCTGTGTGTGTTCTGGCCCCGGATTTGCCAGATGGAATCACAGCTGGAGATAGAGGTGGGGAGCATAGGACTGGGGTTTGAGCAGCCTACCTCCTTTTCCTGAAAATCCACTGGAAGTCAGCCCCTGCTAGGAGGTGGGTGTGGCTTGCCCCGCGCCAGGGATCAAATTGGTTGGAACCTATGGAGTCAGGGATGCTAAATCCTCATCAGGAGGAAAGGAACAGAAAGTTCCAGTGGCCAACCCAGTGCACACAGCCAAGCTGGGGCAGAGCCACATGGAGGCGCCTTGTTGAGCCAACCTGGTGTCCCCAGGGCACGCCAAGCTTAAATACTGCTTGGAAGGCGTTTGAGAAGAAGGCAGCCTAGGGAATGTCCCTCCTGGATTGTATCTACTTCAAAATATTTCTCCATCTCATCTGCCCTAAACCAGACCCAAACAGAACAGAATCCGTATGCTCTCTGAGGCAATAAGCATGTGGCATTGAATTACTGATGTATTGATCCTGGGAGCTTACGGGGCGGAAGCATCGCAAGGAAGCACAAATGCCAGAGGGTACCCAACCTCATCCGTGTGCCACCTCCGAGGTCCCAGACCCCTGCCTAGACAGGCAGAGGGTCTTCAAAACAAGGGTGCCAAAATTAAGAACCTGTCATATGTCAAGACCTGTGTGAGCGTGTCTTATCTCACTTAACCCTTCCAACCGCCGTGGCAGGTATATGCTGCAATATCACCTCCAGTATACAGATGAGAAACTGAGACTCACAGAAGATGCCCCCACCAAGTTACACAGCTAATAAGTTCCAGAGCTGGGCCTTGAACTCAGGCATGCTTGCCTCCAAAACACAGGCTCAAAAAGCAAATCCAAACACTCCCTCCCAAACGTAGGAAGGGGCAAGCATTTCTATCCCACTTCCCAAATTACACACACACTATGAACCACTTCCTCCTTCCACATACAGAAAGCAGCCCTATCCCTCCTCCCCACCAGGCCAATCAATCCCTGTTGTCCATTTTTTAGCTCAAGTCCCTCCTCCTACAGGAAGACTTCCCCCATGAATCTAATCTTGGCTCATCAGTTTGGTTAACAAGTGTGTTGAACTCCATCTGCACCACACCCTGTATTGGTTTGGGGGAAATGAGGAGGAATCCAACACATTTCTTACCCTTGACAATTCAGGATTCAATGGGGGCAGAGGTGGTGTTGGTTTGCAATCTGGCCCCTGGACACAGACGGCAAGGAGAGACCAAGAAAGAAGCAGACCTCTCCAGATGGGTAGGTGGCGGGTTACATAAGCCGGGAACTGAACTAACAAGGCTTGTCTTGGGCACCACAAGAAGTGTCGATTTCCATGCCTGCTTGCTAGAACATTAAATGTTTATGTAGAGGCCTTAACTGGCCTCAGTCACATGTGCCACCCAGATGTTCTCAACAACACCTTGCTCTGCAAAGCTGTGTCCTTGGGCAGCGTGGGGAAGGCACGCAGAATGCACATTTCAAGAGGGACTGAGGAGCCTCCGACTGCCCTGGGTCAAGCTCGGGGTTAACCAGCGGTCTCGTCCTCTCGATCACCTCCTTCAACATTCCACCCCTCTTGACCGGCTCTTCTAATCTCACATGCCCCCCTCCTCCACTGCGTGCCTGAGGGGTCAGCAAGGGGAAACCCCTTGCTGCTTCACGGTGGCTCATTTGGGGCAGCTCTTCAGCCTCCCTGAGACAGCTACCATAGCAACAGCCTAGGCACAGTCAAGAGAATACAGATTAAGATCATTCTCCCCCAAACAATATTCTCCATGAAGAGCCCCATCGTCTGAACCACTGATTTATTAAAACCTGTAGGTTTGGGATCAGATCACTCAGGATGTTCCCTTGTGTCCTCGCGTGATTTAAAAAAGATGGTACATCAGCAGACTCACCAGGTATGAACACACAACATTCTGTTGGGATAATGGCACAGGTGCCTCCTTGCAAGGCAGTCATAACATCCAAGGCCATCTTACTTTGGAGGACAGCTTTTCCCATTAGACACGTCAGTGTTCGGTAAAGACAGGCCTTGCCGGGTGAATTCAGTAAGGGCTTCTGTGTGTGCTGTCTTCTAGGCCAATGGGGGAGACAAAGACGAGCCAAATGATTGTAGCAGTGGAAAACAGAGCGTGTGCACCTGGCCTTGAGGAGAGGGAGCTTGCCAGCTTTAGGAACGTAGCCTTGTTGTATTTTCCATACATGTTAGCCGGGGAGGCAGCACTCTTGGGTGTGAGGAGATGCACTGGGGGGTGGGCCAGACCAAGACCCCCACCTTCTCCCCTCTCTCATTGGTGCATGTACCATTCCATGTATGGCATTTTCAACAGGTTCAGCCTGCAGCAGGACAGCCAGATCCTCAGGGAGATTGGAGCGATTCCCCCTCCCCCCACAGAGAGATGCAAAGTAATTCACCCATCCTGGTGAGATGTCTAACTGCAAATTCCAGTAGATGATGCATGATGGGGGCTTGGTGTTTTCAGCAGTATAGCACATCGATCCATGGTAAGAGTCTGGGCAATGGCTATTTCCAGAAACTTCCGCGCCTAATGGCATGGAGTGTCTCAGTAGGGGTCCCCGTTGTAGCATATAGAACAACAGACCCTATTGGCGGATGATTCAAATGCATTAAAGCCTGGGATAGCACTTTAGTCTGCCTGGCCACAGTGGTTTTACTGGTTAGTAATTTAGGCTTCTGCTTTAGTACTCTTTTTTTCCTTTCCACTAAGCCTGCTGCGTGCAGGTGTGAGGAGAGGTGAAACTTCCACTCAATGTCATGTTCTTTTGCCCAGTCTCGGAATGTGACCCCTGATCACTGTTTATATGGCATGCGTATCCATACGTGGTACTCAGCTTCTCTAATCCTCTAATGGTGGCGGCCTGGTTTACGTGGTGATAAGGAAAAGCTTGAGTAATGCCAAGTGTCCACACAAACCGGGCATATTTAGAATCCTCACTCAGAAGGAGGGGGCCAATATAATCAATTTTCCCATCTCTCACCAGATGGGAATTCCTGAGGTTGACTCCAGACCCCTTTGGCAGTTGCCCTGGGTATTGTTTGTTTATTTAAGATTTTTATTTTTAAGTAATCTCTATACCCAATGGGAGGGTTTCATGACTTTCATGTCTCTAATATCAAGACTCATGACTCTAATATCAAGAACCGCACACTCTACCAACTGAGCCAACCAGATGCCCCAACCCGGGGCGTTGGAGAACACACAGAACATGTAGTTAACCAAGTCACTGTATTTCAAGGGCAATCCAGCATCCTTGGTAATATGCCAGCCTGCCCCGGCACAACAGCGGCCACTCTTCCTAGGCACCTAATTCAGCTGTATCAACTGACGGGGCACTTGCTAAGAGTAGGGAATCAGTTTCCTGATTGCCACGGGTGTCCGAGCTAGGACGTGGAACACAGGATTGCAGGTGAACCCAAATGTCTTTTCCACCTTTTCTGAGACATGAAGGCTTACTCATGATCATCCGCCTCTCAGCTTCCCATTGTCCAAGCCATAGAGCTAATCCCTTTAGAATAGTCCACTGTCAGTGCGAAGAGCTAGTGGCCAGGACTCATGAATAATCACAAGCCAAACCCCTCTGAATTCAGCCTACTGGCTGCCATGGTTCCTT